CATTTGACCCAAAGGGAGTCAAGACCCTCAGATTGAGAACCATTGCCTTAGAGGAAAGGAGGATGCTGCTGTTACAGGAATCATTCCGAGTCGAGGAGGTGGGAGGAATGAAAACTCCATAGTATCTCCAAGTATCTTGAAACTTAAGCACAGTTTTGATGACTAGGGTTTGATGAAGAAGCTTAATCCATGTGTCAAACCTTCCATGCCATAACCCCAAATCACAGCACATATTGAGGAAGAAGGAACATGGTCTGAAACCCTCATCCATGCCCACTGCGTTTACCATTCACAAAGAATATCGCCATTCACAAAGGATATCGCCATTCACAAAGAATACCACTTATTGCGTTTGAATTCCAAACAATCTTAAGGGAGGTTGAGTAGGCATCATTTTCCTTGTTGTTCAATGGGGACTGCTCAGGCCCAAAAAGGCAAATCGTCTCCTCCCAGGTTCATAGATGAGGGGGTAAAATCAGGCACTCAAGCCTAGGTTCACTTCTGGCCCATTGCTCTTTCTCTGCACGCAGCCATTGAGAGCTTTGGTGAAGTTAGGTGCAGCTGAACCTTCACACCCTGATTGTTCTTAAATACTAGGATAGACTTCAGGGGAAAGACATTCACTCCAGAACCCAGGATCCCCCAAAAGATCACATTACTAGGGTCCCTCACGTCCTACATCTTCTCCACACAGACTCAACATTCCAGGCCAATCGTCTGGCGTTGGCCAGAACAATTGGCTTTCTTCAGCCAAGGACTATCCTTTATGTTGATTATTATACTAAAAAAACACATGCCTCTCTTTCCCTTAGTTCTTCGACATCCTCTATGTTGGTTGCTTCCAAGGTCCTCCACACTTATGCGATCTTTGGTCTAAAGAGGGCAGTGTGGCATGTGCCCATCAGTAGGTTTGAGTGCTGCCTCCCACTACACTCTGACTCTTATCCCCCTTTATTATTCCTTTTTAAATGGACAAAATTCACATGATATCTTCTTTTCCTCCACTGTCCCACACCCCTGGAACCATTTCTTACATTGCACATGTCAAAAGCCCTTTTCCTTTCTTAAAAACACACCCTTGGGGAGGCCATGGGGCTGATGCACGGCCATCAACTCCCTCTTCCTTGTGGACCCCAAATCAACAAGATCCAACTAGAAAAATAATTTCCAGAAAAAGATTCTTAAGGGCATTAGAATTCTAATAAGCTTAATTCCTTCAATTCCTGCCTACAAATTGCCTGAAAAGCAGAATACAAATGAACCTTTGAAAAATTGGCAGCTAGGGCTTGGAGATGGTGAGATGGGCCGTTGTGCAAGCATGAGGACCCAAGTTTAAATCCCTGTGAACTTGCCTAAAAAGCTGGGTTTGGTCACATATGTTTGTAATGGCAGAAGCAGTGACCAGGAGGATCCACCCTGGGGTTGAGAACTATGAACTGTGATTGAAATGGTCCAACTGGAATATGAGGCAAGTGACAGGTTGAGGGAGAAGTGGTGGTGTGTAAAGGAAGGATATTTTATCGCCGAGTCCAAGTACACGCACGGCATTATGCAAGTCTGAGAGCTCCAAGAGGGGCAAGAACACATCATAGTTCATATCCACCATGACCCTGCCCTTGGGACTATGTTAGACACATAGTGGACAGTCAGCAAATGTTGCTGCTCTTAACATCATAGATGTAATCTTAAAGTTATATTAAATACGAGTTTATTTCCAAATGTCACCTGACACCATTAAAATACCTCATCTCTTTACTTCTGTCCATTTCTTGTTTACTTTCATGGTCCAGATTGTGACTGATTGGTATGAATTATCCATAAGCATAGCTGGGAATCCCTTACCAGCTATGATGCTTTGGCTTTAATTTGATTCTGTTCTCAGCATAGAAAAGGCTCCTAGTGGATGTATTTTGAATTAAATTGAACCGGACAAAGAAAGACATGTTTGAGGGTCCATGGAGAGCTCAGTTTCTCTTAGAAGGATTAAAACATGCAAACAAATATTCCAATTAGTAAATCAGGAAAGAAAGCACTTAAATCTATTGCTAGCCCAAGTGAGATCCTGGGGACCCTTAAGCCTGAGATCTTATTTTCCTTATTAGTTAAGGGGCAAATCTACTGAAGCTGGTTGATATTTTGAAAACACTGAAAGGGAGGCTAGAATGGCAAGAGATGCCCGTCTTGTGCTTACTCACCAGCTTGTCTGCCTGAGGTCTCCATCCTGAATTGTTCTACACAACCTTCTGCAGGGCAGTTGGCAGGGAAGCCACATACATCCAGGAATAGGTAACCTGTCCAGGTAATCTGTCCTTCCTTCATCTTCAATGTGACTGATGTTTGTTCAACACCCACAGCCAGTGCATGTGTGACTGTCCCCATTCCTTGCCCCCTTTCATACTCCAATATCCCATATTGGTAAGGAACAAATGGCGTTGCTGCTCTTGGAGTTTACACTGCCTGAATGCAAACAACTGTGCATTTCCGCTACAAACAAATCTGGATGGTGGATATGATGCTTTGCTTTAGACACTGTGGGTCAAGATTATCTTTCAGAGGCCTCAGAAAACATGGTCCCGTGTCTGCAGGCCTTGCAGGGCCTGTCTCCATTACCCCTCGCAGGATGCTCAGCAGGGCAGGCTGTTTTTCTGGAATCAGTTTTGTACATCCTGGTTACTTCTCAGCTTTGCACTCTTGCAGGTTAGCCCATTTGAAAGTGGGTTAGCTCTGTCTAATTCATGTGGCTCTGCACAGTTCTGGAATTCCCATCCACATTTCCTCCTTGTTGTTTTCTTCTGAACATTCTTGTTTTTCTTATTGGGCAGTCTCCTCCTTGTATCCATCTGGTTCCATTTCTTTGATTGCTCTGTATTGGTGGGATTCTATTATTGTCCTCCTGGATGACCAAATCCACAAATCTTCTCCTGTATAAACACCTGAACATTGTTCTTGGTAGAGGCCTCTAGGGGGCTACACTGGGCAGCCCACAGTTTAAATCAAAGGGATTGGAGGATGCTGCAGGCATTCCATGGGTGCTCAGGCAAGGCTTCCTTTAATGGGGAAGAAGGCAGGTTGAGGAAGCAGCTCTTTTCTGGAAGCTTTGGAGCAGGTGGATAAGCATGGGGAAGTCAGAGGCTTCTTTTGGTCTTTACCCATGGGTTCCCATCTTTGGATGAAGTCACCTTGCCAATCATCCCATGCCCAGATGGAAAGTGACAGAAGCTCTCTGCCGACTGCCTGGTGTCCTTCTGATGCAAAGTCTGGGTGGTACCCGTCTCTAGACCCGCCTATTTCTCTCACTTTAATAGTCTTGGGGGGGGGAACAAAGAAAATTTGATTATATTACAAGTCCAAGTCTGCTTTGTAGTGCTCTGGGCCTTTAAAAATCTGAACGTTTTTTATAATAAGCAGGGCCTAATGGTCTTGGAGAGTGCAGACAATGGGCCTTTTATCGGAGACTCCAGCCACATGAAGACTATCATGAAAGCTCACAGGGAGCAGGACTCCAATAATTTGTCAGTCAAGCAGAAGCTCTGGCTGCCAGCCAAAGCCACAGGAGCTTTGGATGATGCTCTGGAGATGTAAAGAGTATCTGGCAGTGCCTATAATTATATAACTTTTATACATTCACAATTTCATCTTCAGATCTTCTGGTCCTGTCCACTATCACCCATTTCTAGCTTGCCTCCATTCCTCCACCCCAACCCTAACCCCAGGCCAAATCCTGTGCTTATAGGGTACCTCAGTATTATCCTTCATAGCATCTAAGCTCTTGGATTCAGTGACATAATTTAGCCTTCCTTTCATACTTTTTGAACCCTTTGTCCTTAGAACATCTGTATGCAAATCAGTAGGACTGGAGCTTGGATGCCCAGAAAAGAACATTGCATATACATACATTGAACTTAGAGAATAGGGCAGAATGTTAGAAAGTTTAACTGAAAATTTAAAAGTGATTTTTAATGTTAAAGCTGACATGGATATGTTACATGCAATAGAGCCAATTGACTCAAGTTTAAGATAATGTGATTTCTTGCCCAGGGAGACCCCTTTAGGCTACCTCTTTACCTTGTCAGGGTATGGATCTAGGTAGGACACTGCATATAGTAGGCAAATGCTCTACCTACTACAGAGCTATATTCCTAACCCATTTGGATTATCTCTTGACTGTCTTAAATGAACCCATTCATTCTGTTTTGATTGATGTCCCATGTAAAAGTTTGGTGAATACTTCCTTTTTCCTTCCACGTTTCTTTTCCTAGACAGTTTAAATGAATTTACACTGACCCCATCAGCTAATATTTTTTGGAAATCTTTCAGAACTGTCTCTTCTTCCAGAAACTGCTCTGTCCTCAAGGTGATTATTCAAGTCTCTACCGCTCTCTTCAGTGATAACAGAGGCCATTACATACATGGTCCTGTAACTCACAGACAGTTCTCCAACTTTCATAGCCAAGGCTCAGATCAGCTCAAATCACCACCACAGTCATCCATCCTTGGCCTGGGTTACAGCAACATTTAGAGAGTTGTCTCTCACCACAAGGAGCAAGAGCTGATGACTGTAACTGAATGTAATGTCTTCAAGCAATCTCTCTCTCTCTCTCTCTCTCTCTCTCTCTCTCTCTCTCTCTCTCTCGGGCAGATTCACTAGGAGACACAGTTGACTATAGGTGCTCAGGATCTTGTAACATAAAAGAATGTCACTGGATGGAACAACACCCAACTGACCAGGGCTGGACCATGTGGTTCCTTTGAAGCTCTACCACAGAACTCTGATTTCATGGGTGTAATGGCTGAAGAAGAGTCCTGACTTAGCAAGAAGCTCAAGTAAAGAATTTTATGGGATCAGGGACTCTTCCGAGGGAGGCAAATGACAGAGTGAAGGACAGGGCGTTTGAAAACTAGTGAAGTACAAAGAAAAAAAGATTTTACATACTGTGTCCACACCCTCTGTAGAAGGGTTATAAATGCTCACCAGAGGAAGGACACCCAGAGCTCCGAGGCTTGGAGAGTCCACTCTGTGTCTTCAGCCAGGCACCTCACTCCCTCCAGCACCATGCCATACAACTGCTGCCTGCCCACCATGAGCTGCCGCACCAGCTGCTCCTCCCGGCCATGTATACCCAACAGTTGCCATGGCTGCACCCTGCCTGGGGCCTGCAACATCCCTGCCAATGTGGGCAACTGCAATTGGTTCTGTGAGGGCTCCTTCAATGGCAACGAGAAGGAGACCATGCAGTTCCTGAATGACCGCCTGGCCAGCTACCTGGAGAAGGTGAGGCAGCTGGAGAGAGAGAATGCAGAGCTGGAGGCTCGGATCCAGGAGAGGAACCAGCAGCAGGACCCTCTGGTGTGCCCCGCCTACCAGTCCTACTTCAGGACCATCGAGGAGCTGCAGCAGAAGGTGAGGGGCCACATTGACATGTCTAAGTGATGGTAACTTGCTATGGCTCTCAGCCTGAGGTGGAGAAGAAGTGTTTCTTGTTTCCATCCCATAATGATCCTTGTTTTCCCATTTTCCCTGCTATCCATTTTTAAAGAAACTAATGGTTTTGTATTTAGTTTTGATGCTCACTAATTCATATGGTCTCTCCTTCCTCAGATTCTATGCAGCAAATCTGAGAATGCCAGGCTGGTGGTACAGATAGATAATGCCAAGCTGGCTGCAGATGACTTCAGGACCAAGTGAGTCATTTGACAGACATACTAGCATCCTTTTAGTTTGCTTAACCTCCAGCTAAAGAAAGGGATTTCCATAGCTTTCCTAGCAGCAGACAATCTGTTAGTTTTAAATGATTCTGCAAATGATGTTTTAGGCAGAATAAAGCAAAAGGAATCACAAAAATGGAAAAGGACAATGTTGAGTTTTGATGGAGCATCCAGAACTCTCTGTCCCCTGGGAGTGTTCATTGCAGGAAGTAAGAAGGCAAAGCAAATGTCTTCTGGCAAGGATTATTGTTCGGAGTCTTGAAGATCTACCAGTTGCTCCTCTGACCTTGTCCATTTTCAGGTATGAGACTGAGCTGTCTCTGCGGCAGCTGGTGGAGTCAGACATCAATGGCCTGCGCAGGATCCTGGATGAGCTGACCCTCTGCAAATCTGACCTGGAGGCTCAGGTGGAGTCACTGAAGGAGGAGCTGCTGTGCCTCAAGAGGAACCACGAGGAGGTGAGATTAGATGAAGGACCTAACTCAGCCTCAGGCTTTGGGGTTGGGAGAAGCAGAACTAAGGTTATAAACATGAATCTCAGGATGTTTTTATGAATCTGCTTTAGAGCCACCAAGACCCAATGAGAGAAAACTATAGATGAACTTGTCCATGTTCTCAGATAGGACATACCTCAAGTTAAAAACACAAGTATTATTTCCCAGACATCTCCATTTGCTGGCAACTGCCCACTGAGCCGTAGAGTTCCAGTCTTGTTATATTGGCGATCTGATTTTTGTCTTGCTAAAGAGAATAAGTCTTGGTGAAGAATGAGTGGGTACTCCTGGGAAGTGCCAAGACATGATTTTGCTTCTTTTTTGGTAGCAAGAATTATTTGATGTACAATCTGAAACAGCTCAGCTATATTTCTGCATTTGAGGGTGTCACAGTTTCCAGTTGGGGAAACTTGTTTGTCAGCCTGCTCTTCAGCAGCCCAGTAAACCCTGGGGGTAATGGTGAGGAAGGAGTTGAGCCCACAGAGATTATTTGCCTTGAGTTGATATAATAGCTCCTAAGGTTCTTCTTAGGAGGAAATAGACTTAGGAGGGCTTCAACAGGCAGGGTAATCTCTGAGACTCATTGAGAACAGTAACTATGAATTTATATATTTGCAGGAAGTCAACACCCTGCGCTGCCAGCTTGGAGACCGCCTCAACGTGGAAGTGGACGCCGCTCCCACTGTGGACCTGAACCGTGTACTCAACGAGACCAGGTGTCAGTACGAGGCCCTGGTGGAAACCAACCGCAGAGAAGTGGAGGAATGGTTCACCACACAGGTGGGCATCTGAGCTCATGCTCACCTGGGCACTGAGGCCCCCAGGACCCTAAGGCAGGGTCTGATCCTGTCTCTGCCCTTGCTTCCTGCAGACTGAGGAGCTGAACAAGCAGGTGGTGTCCAGCTCAGAGCAGCTGCAATCCTGCCAGGCAGAGATCATCGAGCTGAGACGCACAGTCAACGCCCTGGAGATCGAGCTGCAGGCCCAGCACAACCTGGTGTGTAGTGTCCAGACCCGGGACCACTCCCTCCATCTCTTTCTCTTCAAGCCCGTGACTCCTTTGGGAGGTCATGCAGGAACCTTTAGAGGGAGCAGCTCTGTGACAGCCTGTGTCTTCTCCCCCACAGAGAAACTCTCTGGAAAACACACTGACAGAGAGCGAGGCTCGCTACAGCTCCCAGCTGTCCCAGGTTCAGTGCCTGATCACCAACGTGGAGTCCCAGCTTGGTGAGATCCGGGCTGACCTGGAGCGTCAGAACCAGGAGTACCAGGTGCTGCTGGACATCCGTGCCCGGCTGGAGTGTGAGATCAACACGTACAGAGGCCTGCTGGAGAGCGAGGACTGCAAGTGAGTACAGAGAAGGATGGATTTGATGAGACTTCAGAAGGGAGTATAGGACTCAGTTGGATCCCTCAGAGACTGTCTGCCTAGGGAAAGAAAATCATGCCTTTCCACTTGACATGCTCAAACAGAACTGACAACACCATCACCATCATGAAAATATCAAGTGGCTTGCTGGCACAGTTGTTTGTGTGCAAATTGAGATTGTACAGCTATATTTGTATTCTACTGTGCTAATATGTAGGGTTATATGAGCCGTCTTTACAATACTTCATTGTATAGACAGCGTAAGATAGCCACTATCTTATCTGCTTGTGTAACTATTCTATGTAAGGACGCTAGGGCATGGCAAAGGCAGTAATCCACTCAAGGTGTGTATAGCTTTGGGGTATCTGTGTAGTATTTGTGGCTCTCTGTATTTTAGTGATTTAAAGGTTTTGTAGTAGAGGGGGACTTGCCATTCTTTGTTCTAGATCAGGACAAGTCCTGACAGGACTTCTACTCTTGGGGACTCACTGATAATGTGGTCCTATGTAGTTATTCTTGGGAACTCTCTGATATGTGGCCTCACCTCACCTTTTTGTTCTATTTTTTTTTCTAGGCTACCCTGCAATCCCTGTGCCACAAGCAATGCGTGTGGCAAGCCCATCGGGCCCTGTGTCTCCAATCCCTGCACCCCGTGCCCACCCCCTGCCCCTTGCACACCTTGTGTCCCACGTCCCCGCTGTGGGCCATGCAACTCCTTTGTACGCTAGAACCTGGGGGATGCCAAAGGGACAAGGACACAGTGTTCCAGAGCTCCAACCTGTTCTCGTTCATTCCACAAAGCAGGCATAAAAACGCAAAACGAATAACCAGCACAGTGTTAGGATGATGGCCCCAGAAACTGTGCCTTCAATTGTGCCTTCAACTCCTGCACCCTTCTCCAGACCATTCCCTGCCTGCCTTTCCCTTCAGAAGGACTTGACTTTTCCTTGGCTTGCCCAGAGGACTCTGAAGTGCCATCGGCCCTCCCTTGTGATCTCACAATAAACATTTTCCTGTCTAAAGCAGATGCCTTTCTTATTGGTTCTCATTTGTTGCCATCTACTCACCACTTGAAGACTCTATAAAAAGCCACTTGAAAGTCAGGCTGTGTAATGGCTTGAGTCTTGATGGGCAGATGGCTAGCCTGACACCCTGAATCCATGGGTGAGGTAGAACAGCCATCAGGAGTGAGGGCGAGGCTGCTACAGTGCTGGGTTGCTGTCTCCCTTTCATCGTTGCTATATTTCTCTCCATGACGTGGATTCTCCCAGAGCTTTGATATATAAGCCCGAACTAGGAGGGATGATCTAGAGATTGCTAGGAGGTTCTAGAAAAGTCATCTTTTCCTCAGTAAGATCCTTGGATCAGATGCCCTATGATTCTGGGTTATTGTGGTCCAGGCAACCTGGCTTTCCTTGCCATGCCCAGGATGTCTTCCTCTTTTATGCATGCATCATTAGCCTGAGCGTTCAGTCACTGATTGACAAGATACATCAGTACTTCATGGGGTATTTATCTTTTCTCATGTCATTTCTTACTGTGTAGATGCTGGGTGATGTAGCAGGGAGAGACATTTACAGGCAACTCCCAACCACAAGTTACTCACAATTTGTAAAGAGGCATAAAGTTAGGCCTTCAAAGAGTGCTATCACCCGAAGACACAGAACCCTGGCACCTGAACAACCCAGTTGCCTGGAAACAAATATCTGACCATTGGAAGAGACAAGCTGTGGGTGTATGGGACAGCAATATTTCTCACAAAAAGGGCAGCTTCCTTTAACTGTAAGGAATATCCACAGAAATGATGAATGTTGACTTCATAAAAACCCAGAGGATGCTTGGGATGTTTTGAACCACAATCATGTGAACTGATATGATCAAGACAATGTATCTTTGGCACAGTATATGCACCATTTGAAATTCTCTCCAGAAGAGTACAGGGTTCCAATTATTCATATTCTTGCCGATGCTTCCTATTTTCTGTTTGTTTGAAGCAATAGTCATCAGAATGTGTGTGAAGTGGCACCTTATTGTGCTTTCCATTTGCATGTGCTTGATGACTAAGAACACTGACCAACTTTTTAAATGGCCATTTGCGTATCTTCTTTGGAGAATTGTCAGTTGAAGTCTTTTATCCATTTTAAAGATGTTTTCTCTCTTTTTTTGTTATAGGAGTTCATAGTAAATTCTGAACCTTATTTCCCACCAGATACATGATCGGTAGATATTTTCCCTCAGTTTGTGAACTTCTTGGCTTATTCACTGCCCTTGTGCCTTCTGGGGCTTGGACTCTGAGCTCAGGGCCTTACACATGTCACCAAGTTATATTTTCAGACCATATTTATTTCTTTTTATTTTGACAGAGTTCTTTCTCTATTTTTAAATTTATTTAATGTGTGAGGGCATTTTGTCTGCATATATGTAAGTACCATCATGTGTGTATCATGTCAACAGAGGCCAGAAGAAGATATTGGATTCCCTGGAACTGGAATTACAGAGGACTCCGAGCCACCACATGGGTAACAGGGACTTGACCTGGGTTCCCTGAAAGAGCAGTGAGCACTCTTAATGGCTGAGGCATCTCCCCAGCTCCTTGATTGAGTTTCTGATGCACAGGAGTTTTATTTTGGAGGAAGTTTATTCAGATTTTCTCTTGGTTGCCTGAACTTTGGATTTCAAATCCTGATTCACGAAGATGTTCTATTATAGGTTTTATAGTTTTAGTTCTGATGTTTGAGACTTTGATCCTTTCAGGAATTAAAAAAAATAAATTTATTTACACACTTTGTGTGTATGTGTGTGTAAGAGAGTGGTCCTGTGCCAAGCACATATGTAGAAGTTAGAGGACAATCTATAGGAGTCCATTTCTCCTTCCATCTATGAGTTCCTGGGATTGAACTCATTGCCAGCTTGGCAGTGAGTGTCTTTGTCCATGAGTCTCCTCATGAGTCCCCTTTGGATTTTCTGTGGTTGGTGTGTAGAAATGCTTCCTAAACTATTGATATTAGCACAGCACAGCACTGATTTGAAAACAGTTTTGGACTTCTAACTTATGGGATTTTAAGGAATAAATTTGATTTGTTTTAAGTCTTTAACTCTGTGGTAATTCACGACAGCAGCAACAAGAAACCAATATAGCTTTTAACTATTGAGAGTCTACCCCGATTTAGGCAAAACAGTAGAATGTTATCACAATGAATGTTTATAAACAGTGTTAGAATTAAACCAATTTTCATTTGATTATATATATATATATATATATATATATATATATATATATAATAAAGTTTGAAGAATGGAATGTCTACTTCCAGGTCAATGTCATTCTTCAAAGTTGTCCCCTGTGCACAAGCTCCTTACATGGGTACATTCCAAACTAATTTTTTGTCAAGCTGTTCTAAAGACAATAATGAATCATAATTGATATAATTATAGTTTGTTTGCTTTTAATTATCTAACTTATTCCCAGCTCCTCTTTGGATAGCTTCACAACAGTCAAGCTGATTCCAAAGCAGAAAGGTTTGTTGTTCACAAACTGAGTATTGAAGAAGTGCAGGCTTCCCCAAACAGAAAGCTCTGTGCATGACTTAAGTAGAGATAGCATCTGCAATGGAGAGGTTCTGTGATTATGAACAAAACTTATAGGATCCATGAGTCATGATGTGTTTTTTGGACACATCTTAATATTGCAAATAAATGTGCTCTACATTTTTCCAAAATCTTCCAAATGGCTTTGAAAAAACCTTTCCCTGGTGTTTCATTGCCATCAACAGACACATGGCAAAACAGCAGTTCTCAGTCTTGGGGTGCTTTGAGAGTGCAGTCTTCTCTTAAACACATTGATTTAATCAGCTCAAGAAGCAAAAGTCAGCTTGGCCCTTGTAGAATCTCAGCAGGTGAGGCATTTTCATTGGTTCTCATGAAGCCCACTCACCAGTACCTGGTTGCTGGTCAGAACCATTGGCTTGGCATTCTTGGACAGGACTTGTGACTTTTCTGAGCTTTAGTTTCCCCAGAGGTAGTGAAGGGACAACCAGCTCATCTCCACCTACTTTACAGACTTGCCAAGAAAAGCATGGAATGTTGTGTTCATGGAAACAGTGTCAAATGGGCATTTTCATTGAAAATTATTAAAAAGTTTGATTATTATTGACCCAACACATGAATTGGCTTCTTAAGGATATATAAGTACAACTCTCTCTCTCTCTCTCTCTCTCTCTCTCTCTCTCTCTCTCTCTCTCTGTATTTCCCTCAATGTCAGACAGAGAAACCACCCAATGGCTTCACCTCTCAGAGGTTCAACTGAGGTCCAACCATCTACCAAGAGTACATCTCTATGCTCTATACAGACTGTGGTGTACAACTGGCCAAGTCCTCTTTGAGAACAATCCTCATCCTTTCATCCATCCATCCATCCACCCACCCACCCACCCACCCACCCACCCATCCACCCATCATTTTGCATTTTCATTTCCCAATCCCCATCATGCAACTGATTCTAGTCTGTCTATCTGCATATTTTCCAAGGCATAGCCAGTATCTGAGCATCAGCCTCCTTGCAGCTAGTTCAGGCCAAGTTTCTTTATCAGGATGATTTCCCTGAATGCTGGAATGTGCATAGATTTGAGAGGAAAGGCCAACGGAAGGATGCTTATCCACAGTGCTTTTGCTGTGGTTATATCAGCAGAACCTCCCGGGAAAGGACTGTGATTGCCAAGCAACCCCACCTCATGTCCCTGGCTATCCTCCCCTCTGAGTAATGGTGTGAGCCTCTCAGGACGGTGATGAATCGGCCTCCTTTGAAGCCATCTGACGAAACTCTGATTTCATCAACCACTTGTACCCAGGATGAGGTTGTTTCTGTGACACAAGCTAAATGGAATAATTTTATAGGATGAGGGGGGACTCTTTGAAAGCAATCTAAGTAGCATATTTTGAAGAAAAATCAGCCGAAGCATTAGGGAAGGAAATTATGCTATTTTCCAAGCCCCCACCCACTATTAAGGGTATAAAAGGACTGTGAAGGAAGAAGAAACTCAAACCTCACCCTCATCTACCTTCAGCAGCTCACTGCCCTCCCATCACCTCTCCCAACACCATGTCCTGTGAATCTTGCCTGCCTGCCTTGAGCTGCCGCACCAGCTGCTCCTCCCGGCCATGTATACCCAACAGTTGCCATGGCTGCACCCTGCCTGGGGCCTGCAACATCCCTGCCAATGTGGGCAACTGCAATTGGTTCTGTGAGGGCTCCTTCAATGGCAACGAGAAGGAGACCATGCAGTTCCTGAATGATCGCCTGGCCAGCTACCTGGAGAAGGTGAGGCAGCTGGAGAGAGAGAATGCAGAGCTGGAGGCTCGGATCCAGGAGAGGAACCAGCAGCAGGACCCTCTGGTGTGCCCCGCCTACCAGTCCTACTTCAGGACCATCGAGGAGCTGCAGCAGAAGGTGAGAGGGAGGACTATCTAAGAACCCAGCAGCAGCTGCCTTTCTTTGAATGGGGAGACATGCTCAAGTTCAAGTGGATCTCACATTAGAACTATTGTTTCAGATTCTGTGTGCTAAGTCTGAGAATGCCAGGCTGGCCGTGCAGATCGACAATGCCAAGCTGGCCTCTGATGACTTCAGGACCAAGTATGTTGAACCTTTTGAGTGGGGTGACTTCCAGACCCTGGTGGTTATTGCCTGACTTGTTCATGGCTCTGTGGGTCTCCTGTTGCCTGGAAGGGCACGTGTAAGGGATGAGAAAGACAGACCTTCTCTTTTCATGTCTTCTTCTAAATCTGGCTATGGAAAATAAGCTTCAAACAGGCATTCAGACTCTAGCCCTTCAGTTGATATGGGTTGACTATCCTTTTTCAGAAGTGCTTGGGACCAGAAGTGGTTTTATGTGTGTGTGTGGGGGGAGGGGTTGGTTTCCTTTCTGAGTTGTGGAATATTCGAATACCCCTATTGAGCTGCCTCAGGGACCGGACCTGAGTCGGAACACAAAGCTCATTTGTTAAGGTGTTTATACACCTCCAAGAC